GAGGCTAGTCGTCGCTAGGGAGAGGAAGCCAGGGATTGCTACGTGATATCATTACCCAGCACCCATAGCTATCTAGTTTCTAAACTTTCTAAATCTCCATTTTCTGATTAATGAAAAGAAAACAGAATTCTACCGAGTCTCCTATCTACCTACTTCAGGACTTCTGTGAGGATCAAATGAGATGAGGCATGGGAAAATGCTTCACAGACATTTGGTTAAAGTGTGAAATGTTTGCACCTGGCTATAAAGGAAGTCATGTTCCTGGGCTGAAGAAACTGCAAGGAGGCTAGTCGTCGCTAGGGAGAGGAAGCCAGGGATTGCTACGTGATATCATTACCCAGCACCCATAGCTATCTTTTCTGGCTGGGCTGGGCTGTGGGCCGCATTTTGCACCATGAGGTCTCAGCAGCGTCAGCCGCAATTTGGTGGGCTCCAGGGTGGTGGCGGGGCCTGTGTCCCACTTGGGGGAAGCCGAGTGTTCCTTTGTGGGCGCCAGATCCGCAGTGCCATTTCCCTGTACATGGCCAGTGCGCATCAAAGTAGCTCCTGCACTGAGCGTCTGCTCCCTGGGAGTCAGTGCGCATCATAGCGACCAGTCAGACACTTAGCGTATTAGCCTTTTATATATATTGGTTCTTCTATAGTGCATAGCACTCATGTCATATGTTCTTTGTTTTTGTGTTCTTACATGTAGAGAGGTCTTTGTTTGGGGCATACAGTACTGCTTATTAATTTTCTTTTCCAGGGATATGTTTGCCCTGTTTATGGCATCCCTTACCCTCCTATTCAGGTACAACATGGGCAGCCCCTCTCGGACTTTCTCTTTGGTGTGGAATAGAGTGAAGGGTTTTCCTTGCTCATCACTACTTTGCCTGTCATGTGCTTGTTTACAGATGGAGGACTGGGTATGGCTTTCTAGATATTTTTCTATAGCCGAGGGAACAGGAAAAAGAGCAAAGTAAGGGAAACCTTGGTTGAAGCTGCCAGAGCCTTTGGTAAGAATCCTGGCCACTTTACCAGACATGTAAGCCAATCCTGATAGTTTTGGCTCACCGATTTGGAAAACCGCACACCGTGACAGCTCCACCTGCAGAATGGCATATGGGGATTCCAAGCAAACCACCCAGACTTAAATTTTCTCAAATTGAAGATTATGTATAAGAAATCCTGGGACTTTAATGATCCTCTTTCTTTCTTTAACACTGCTTCTTGAGTAAAGAAATAGGGACTAGAAAGCCAAGTGATGCAAGATTCTTCTAATTCCTTCCTTAAATGCCACTCTTCCAAGTTTATGGCAGTGGCTATATGCCTTTCCTTCTTTATAAAGGGGGAATTTTTAGCCCCTTTTTAAAAAGTTATTTTTTTTATATTTGCTAAAAATTGGGGGAAGAGTGATCTGAAGTCTCTCTACAACCTTCACCAAGAAATGTATTTTAAAATAACTTTAAACATGACTAAATAATTTCACCTCAAAATTGAAACAGTAAATATATTTTTAAAATCGGAAATCAGGTTCTTTATAAAATTACTAAAACCAGGAAGGCAATTTAATAAAGATACTTATTGTATTTCAAAATATTTTGTATCAAGAGTAAGAATAAAGTCAAAGATAGCAGAGATGATAAGGACTCTAGGGAAAATGAGTATCTAACATGTAAAGAGTCAATATTATCTCATCAAATACTTACCATCCTTTGAGAACAAGGACATTAATACCCCCATTTTTACAAGCAAGAAAACTAAGGTTTGAAGAGCCTAAATCAGTGATTTGCAATCCTGGCTACAAATGAGAATGACCTGGGAAATTTTAGACATAAGGGAATGCCTGGGCCCAATCCCAGATACCGATTTAATTAAGCTGAACCTTAAACAAATATAGCAGTTAGGGCACTCAATAGAAAATCCACTATAACTTAAGTTGGCGCTCGTATATGCAGAGTCCCAACAGCCAGTTGACCCTCAAACAACCGGGATTTGAACTACGCAGGTCAACTGAACTGCAGTCAATTAAACTGTGTCAACGGAAAAAAATCCGTGTATAAGTGAACCTGTACAGGTCAAACCCTTGTTGTTCAAGGGAACTTGTATTCTGAAATGACACTTGGGCATCAAGTTTTATTTATTTATTTATTTATCTATCTATCTATCTAATATCTTTATTGATTTCAGAGAGGAAGGGAAAGGGAGAGACAGAAACATCAATGATGAGAGAGAATCATTGATCAGCTACTTCCTGCATGTCCCACACTGGGAATTGAGCCTGCAACCCGGGCATGTGCCATGAACAGGAATCAAACGGTGACCTCCTGGTTCATAAGTTGACACTCAACCACTGAGCCACGCCAGCTGTGCTGGGCATCAAGTTTTAAAAGCTCCCAGGCAGCCCTAGCCAGTTTGGCTCAGTGGATAGAACATCAGCTTGCAGACCGAAGGGTCCTGGGTTTGATTCCAGTCAAAGGCATGTACCCTGGTTGCAGGCTCCTCCCTGTCCCGGGACCTGGTCTGGGTGCATGCAAGAGGCAACCAATCAATGTGTTTCTCTTACATCGATATTTCTCTCACTCTTGCCTTCTCTCTTCCACTCTCTCTGAAAATCAATGGAAAAATATCCTCCAGTGAAGATTAAAAACAAAACAAAACAAAAACAACGTAGTATGACCAAGAATAAACATTTGTTGCATAAAACCAAAAGGAAAAAACCCCAGCTCCTAGGCAGTTCTAATAAGTAGCCTAAATAGAGAACACCAATTTATACAGGCTGGAGCAAAAGTGGGTTTACACAATACATAGAGTTTATTCTTGCATTATTTTTATTAATTATTGTGTTATATTCCATATAACAACTGTAAACCTACTTTTGCTCCCACCTTGTATAATGTGATCAAGGCCACACTGCTGCTGACCAGGATTCAAGCGTAGGTCTACCTGATGTCCCGATACACAGCATTAACTTTGAACTATGGGAACAAATTTTAAGGGTTGGTTCACTAATTACAACTCCAAAAGATAAACAAATAAAAACAAACAAAATACAAACTATAAATGACCAGTCACAGTTTGGTTAATAAAATTGTAAAATAAAAAAAATTAAATTAAAGAAATTAACACACTCGTGAAGTAGGCATACTTCACAAGTTCAGTCCTAGAGAGAAATAAAAGAAACCCCATTACCTGTCAGAACCTGGGTGAAATTCTGAAAGCAAGGAAGGTCGTCTGCGAAGCTGCTGTTGCTGCTGCTGTTGCAAAAGCTGTGATGCTTGACTGACTTCAAGATGAGAAGAACGATAATCAGGGACTGCAAATTCCTAGTATTAAAATAATCATACATTAATTATTAACCAAAAAGTGAAAAGCATCATTAAATCAAAGCAAATATAAATGCATGAAGGTAGTTATGGGCCACTAAGTATGGAAAGAAATAGCACTGATGATTTCAACCCTTTACTTACCTAATTCTTTCTCCAAAACCTAAAATAATAAACATTTTAACTAGCCAGAACCGGTTTGGCTCAGTGGATAGAGCGTCGGCCTGCGGACTGAAAGGTCCCAGGTTCGATTCCGGTCAAGGGCATTTACCTTGGTTGCGGGCACATCCCCAGTGGGGGGCGTGTAGGAGGCGGCTGATCGATGTTTCTAACTCTCTATCCCTCTCACTTCCTCTCTGTAAAAAATCAATAAAATATATTTTCAAAAAAAACCAAAAAAAACATTTTAACTATATGTCATTCAAAGGAATTCAAATTAAATTTTGTGTTCAATTTTGATTCATTCTTCTAACAACAATAATTTCCGATCTATATTATTCATGTAGTAAGGTCTCAAACTCATGTGTTCAATATGAAATCCTAAAAAGTATGCCAATCTTAAATTCAAAATCAGTAAGCTGAAAGGGTAACAAAAGCCATCCAGTTAAATTCATGTATATTTACAAATGAGGAAACAGAAGTCCAGAGACTCAACCTGCTAGGTTAAGAGTAATAGTTTTTCCATCATTCCTAGATGGGTGGTTTTATGTTTGTTTTCCTATTTCTCTTTTATTGTCTTTTTATTGAACATGAAAAAGCTTTGCCTGGCTGGCGTAGCTCAGTGGCTGAGCATCGACCTATGGATCAGGAGGTCACAATTCGATTTCCAGTCAGGGCAAATGCCTGGGTTGTAGGCTTGATCCTCAGTGTGCAACGTGCAGGAGGCAGCTGATCAATGATTTTCTCTCATCATTGATGTTTTTATCTCCCTCTCCCTCTCCCTCTCCCTCTCCTTTCCTCTATGAAATCAATAAAAGTTCACTACTAAAAAAGAAAAGAAAATGCAATTCCACTCTTAGGTATATATACACAGGTAAGTAAAAAAATAAAAATAAAAATATATATATAATATCTACACACAAATTTTCAAAGCAGCATTATTCACAATAGCGAAAAAGGAGAACAAATTCAAAGGTCCCTTGACTTATGACTGGACAAACAAAATGTGGTATACAGGTATCCCCCACTTCTGAAAAGTTTGAGTTACACTACTTCACTTTTACAAAAGAGCACATTAGTACCTGTTTTCACTAACCAAAAGAAATCCAAAGAGGATTTTCACTTTTACAAACAAGCAAAAAGTGAAACAAATGTTCAGTGTTTGTTTTGCAGTGAGCCATTATAGAAGCAGTGCACCCAGAGAGGCAAGACTGGCTTCACCATGCTCCTTCCCAGGGAACTACTACCTTCAGCATCTCAGCATCAAGCCGCCATTGCTTTGAAGTGCATCTGTAAGCACCTGTGCTTTATCTCTATTTTGGGCATCTGTTAGCAAGATGGGTCCTAAGGTATCAGAAAAGTGTAAGAGCTCATAGGAGTGTTAAGCTTGGCATAAAATTGGACATAAGCATCATGATGGTGGTCAACAAAATAAAGACATTGTGTATGTGCTGAATTTGCCTGTGTCCATAAAGAGAGAAAGAATCTTAAAAGCTACCAAAGTTACTATTTGTTTTGCTAGTAGTAAAGTGGTCTCTTTTAGTATCCAGGAATGGATAAAATGGAAAGTCTACTGATTGAGTGGATTGATGGGTGTACAAAGCATGGTGTTTCATTATCTTATACTTTAGGAGAAATCAGTCTTTTTCAATATGTTGAACTACACTGTACATACATTATTTCTACTTTATACAGGCTTGTATTTATCATATTATTCCTGCTTTTACTACTATATGTTATAGGACCACCTACAAAACAAACAATTCCCAGAGCTCACACAGAACCAGAACTGGTTCAAATTTCATCCAGCCAGAAGGAAGAAACCTCACTGAACATACATTCAGTAGATACCCCCCAAAGGACAAGTTTAGAAGTGGATAAAGACTATTCTCCCCTGGCGTGACTCAGTTGGTTGGGTCTCGTCCCAGGCACCAAAAGGTTGCCGGTTCGATCCCCAGTCAGGGCACATGCCCAGGTTTCAGGCTCAATCCCGGAAGGGGGTATGCAGGAGACAGCAGATCAAAGTTTCACTCTCCCACTGATGTTTCTCTCTCTCTCTAAAAATCAATTTTAAAAAAAATTTAAAGACTACCGTAGGTATTTCAGTTGGTAGCAGGAAAGGAGAGTAGACACTACAGAGCCCTAAGCAGTCCCATGGTTGCCACTGGCCTAGTTATCATCACACCCCAGGAGGCGCTACAGCTGGTGCAGCCAGCCCTAGTCACCATCATCAAAGCAACCATGAGCAGAGAGGCAGAGACCCAGCAATAGCCTGCCACACCCTCAGTACTGCCAACACCAAGCCCAGCACCAGGGGTAATGCAGAAAGCAGAAACCCAGGACAAGAAGGTCATCGCAACTAAGGTTTTGTGGACAATAAAATGGTCATAAAGAAGAATAAACCCAGAAAGTATCTTCGCAGTGTAGGCAATGGAGTTTGATGTTGTTGGAGAAAAGGATGCAGAGGCAGCAAATATTATAGGCCCTGGTGAAGTTCCAGTGCAAGGCAGTAAATATGCAGCAGACCGTAACCATTATAGATGCTATCCACAATGCAGGGGCCATCCTGCATTTACCAGCAGAATTACCAAAATGGTGAGAGTGGGGAAAAGCATGAGGGATCAGAGAGTGCTCCCAAAGGCCAGGCTTAACAGTGCCAGTCTGAAAGCAGGTGACATTTCCCACTTTGCTACATGCAAAGACCCAATGGACACTGATCACAGTATTCCAAGCCCCTGGTGCAGAGAGAAGTGATGGAAGGTGCTAACAACCAGAGCGCAAGAGAATAAGGTAGACCAGTGTATCAGGGCTATAGACCACAACTTGGTAGGGGCCCTCCTATCCAAACACCACTTAGAAGGGATAGGAATGAAGAAGATAAGGAAAATCAAGGAGATGAGACTCAAGGTCAGCAGCCACCTCAACACTGGTACCACAGAAACTTCAATTACCAAGACAAATGCCCAGAAAACCCTAAACCAGTGGTTCTCAACCTTGGCTACACATTAGAATCACCTGGGAATCTTTTAAAAATCCTGATTTCTGGGCCTCACCCTCCAGAAATTCTGTTTCTTTGTTATGGGATGGGGCCACAACATTAGTAATGAACCTTTTTTTTTTTGACTTTATTTTTTTTTTATTGCTTAAAGTATTACAAAGAGTATTACATATGTCTCCTTTTTCCCCCCCTTTTTTCCCCACCCTTGACAATCCCCTGGCCTCCCCTACCCCCCAGTGTCTTATGTCCATTGGTTATGCTTATATGCATGAGTAATGAATCTTTTTTAAAACCTGATTTCTGGGCCTCAGCCTCCAGAAATTCTGTTTCTTTGTTACTAGCAGAATTTCTTGAGGATGAGGCCCAGAAATCAGGATTTTAAAAATATTCCCAGGTGATTCTAATGTGCAGCCAAGGTTGAGAACCACTGCCCTAAACCAAAAGTGGCAAACAGACAAAAGCAGCCGATCCACCAACTTCGAATTCGTCTGCTCCCAAGGCTAGTTAGAGCAAAGCTGAGTAAATGCTGGCTTACCATTGGCTATCTACCATCATCCGAATTAGTCATTCAACAAGAAGAAATGAATATGAAATTTCAGCAGTAAGGACGTACTTGCTTTTTTGCCCATTGACCAAATAACTAGAACTAGCTCCATTACCTACACAGCATGGTTTTTTGTGTGTGTGTTTTTGTTTTGTTTTTTACCTCAATGTCTCTTTTTGGTAATGACAAACTTGTCTTGCTAAAAAGCCTGGTTTTTCTTAATATACCTTTAAAGGTTTTTTGGGGTTTTTTTGGTTTTTTTAAAAAATATATTTCTTTATTGATTTCAGAGAGAAAGGGAGGAGAGAGAGATAGAAACATCAACGATGAGAGAGAATCACTGATCGGCTGCCTCCTGCTTGCCCCGCACTGAGGATCAAGCCCGCAACCCAGGAATCAAACTCGGGACCCTTCCGGTCTGCAGGCTGACGTTTTATCCACTGAGCCAAGATGCTAGGGCATACCTTTAAAGGTTTTTAAATTGTTTCATATCTGGTCAAGATTTTTAAGAATCTCATTTTTAATTTGTAATAAAAGTTTACATTTTTTTTTCAAAAAAGTCAACAAACTGCAAGCATCCTATATAATAGAAGGCTAATATGCAAATTGGCCTAATGGTAGAACAACCAGTCGCTATGACACACACTAGCCACCAGGGGGAGCATGGCTTAGCCAGAAGCCGGGCTTACAAGGAGGGGGCCTAAGCCATCATTCAGACATCCCCCAAGGGCTCCCAGACCGCGAGAGGGCGAAGGCCAGACTAAGGGGATCCCCCTGTCCCCTGCAAGTGCACGAATTTCATGCACTGGGCCTCTAGTCTGTTAATAAAGGCCTTAAATAACTGGAAAAAAAGAAACAACTCTAGACTTGCCCTAGTAGAGTTTAAAAATAAATTTCAAAAGTAATTTAATTACCTACCAGAAAGAATCCAACTTTCTTTAAATAATTACAACAAAAGCCAGCACTAAAAGGTATAAAATTCAGTGTTTATATTTTAAACAAAAAGAAAATATCCAAAAACTTCACTGAATAAAATTCACAATAAATTGGAAACTAACAAAAGTCATTGAACAGGAAGCCATAGCAAAATAAAGCAAATGGATTTAAAAAAACTTAAAATGAACAGCGGTCCAGTGACTTGTAGGGTAATATGAAATATGAGTAATTGCTACCTCAGAAAGAATCTAGGAAAGGAGAGAGAAAAATATATCTAAAAAAATAATGGCTAAAAAAATTGCCCAAATTTTATGAAAATTATAAATCCCCAGTCTAGAAGCAAGAAGTTCAGTGAATGCCAGA